GATCTCTGGAAAACTCCTTAGAAAACTTTTTCAAAACCCAACTCTCATGCCATTAGAAAGAGGATTATGAAAAACCTATAAAAAAATGGTTCATGAAATTTTAGTTCACTCATCTCATAAAGCTGAAGTCCGCCTGCTCTAGCAAAAAATGCCCACTGTGCTATATACTCTGATTAAGGGCCAGTGTTTGGTAAAAAAATTGGTTCCAGCTGAAGGTGTGAGGATGACGGTGATATAGAGTTACCATTTTCATGATTTCATTCCGACTACACGAATCGTCAAGTGACATGGACTTCATAAATTATAGTCTATGAAAAATTGTATATAGAGCAAAGATTTTTCTTCTAAAGTTTTTTCTCAGACTTCGAAAGAGTTCTATTGGAAATTTGCTCAGTGTCAAAATCAATTTGGGATATGTCACTCAATAAGATCCATTCATGTACCAATTATGACATTACTCATATGTTTCAAAGATCCGCCTAAGATCTTCATAGCTATCAGTTATTTGATAAAACAAAAGGAGAAATTGCCTACTACGGCATTTTGAATGAAGAAAGAGGAAGCATCATGCCACGGTTCTACTAAGAGAGAGAAAGAAAAGGTCAAAGTAGGAAGTGACACTGTAGACGCAAAAATAGCAATTAATCAAGTAATGATAGAACGTCATAAATAGCTTATCTTGTGTTACATATAAAATCGAATCGATGTATCGTATTTCCTATTTTATATGCATTTTTTCTTTATCTTATTTAACTGACGGAAGTAACTCAGCATAGACACATAAATATAACGGTTCTAACATCGAGAGTGATTCAGATACTGAAAGATACATATATATTTTTCAAAAGTATACTGTTTCCGATTTCTTTCGCGGACATAATAGAAGACCAGTGGTCTTCTAACAGGTGATGGTCTTCTATTATGAGGGGAAGGGTGGTTAATAAAGATAAATCATTCTTAAACCAGTCAACTTTCTTTCAAAATTGTGATTCAAAACAGCACAAGCTATTAACTAGTTAAATTATAGTTGTTTCACGGCTGCAATTGTTAGAACGTAACGTGCGTTTGTTCTCAGGCATATCTGTCTGGATACGTTACGGTCCGAAATGAAAGTTATAATAAGTATAGTCAGTGTGCGTGTGTTTATACAGTATGGCCTCTTATGATTGACCGCAACAGAAAGCAGGAATTATACGATATCGGCAGACGAAGACAATCAAACTTAGACGGTCATTCATGTGTGTAGTTGTTTTGTGAATAATTTTCTATTGATTTCGATCATCTATATATTATGTATGGAAACAAGTATGCATTATTCATGAAATCTTTAGAATCTAGAAATTAAAATAAAAAAAATGTCCATTCGTATTGATGTTCATACTCATATTGTTCCACCGATGTATCCTGCATATGTAGAAGCAAATGGTGGCGATCCAAATGGTTGGACTACACCAAAAAACTGGTCTGTTGAAACAGCCTTAAAAATGATGGTTCATTTCAATATTCAATTTTCTATTCTGTCACTTTCAACACCCGGTTGTACATTGTTAAAAGATTTAAAAGAAGCACGAAAATTTACACGTCAAATAAATGACTATTGTTCAACAATTGTTAAACAAAATCCAAAACATTTTGGATTCTTTGCTTCACTAATGACATTAACAGATGTCGAAGGTGTATTAGAGAAAATTGCATACGTATTCGATGTATTAGGTGCTGATGGAATTATATTATTTACATCGTATAATAATGGACAAATGTATTTAGGTAAGACCTGTCGAGATATCTATACTGTACAATGTATAGTACAGTCACCCGTTATTCATCGTATAAGATGAAAGTCTACAGCATAGGAAAAAAATTTTTTTTCCATTCTGCCAGCTAATATCTTAATTAAGATGATAATTAGCAGTTTTCACGAGGAAGAAAACGTTTTGAGATCAAATTTCGAGAGATAATAGATAGTAGACTCTATTTCCTAATTTGTGACAGCCGAGCGGCTTGTCCCGCTAACGACCTCCATCGTTTGCTCTTTTTCAAAAATTTATTGTAATGAAGCTACAAACGAATCTAAAATGGCAATTAGATAATTAAGTAGAAAATGTCTTGCCTCTGAACATTGATTCGTTATGAAAATACAGCTGTTGTACAAACAACCCAAAAGATCGATTTTGGGGGTATCTAAAAAGTGTGTCTAAAAGCATGAAGACGAGCTTGCAAAAACTGAACAAATATACCACTTTGTAGAAAATTGTTTGTTCTACAAGGTGTGATAGCCTGTCAAATTCGAAATTATTCTAATGAATCTGTATCAATCAAAGAAAAACTGTGACGCTACTTTTGACTGTTTGTACAACAACTGTATTTTCATAACGTATTAATGTTCAAAGCCGAGACGTTTCATTTTGTAGAGAAATGTTTATCTACTTATTTTATGTAGTTGCCATCTTAGTTTAGTTTGTAGCTTCATTGCAATAACTTTTTGAAAAAGAGCAAAAAGGGAGGTCGTTAGCTGGACAGGCTGCGAGGTTCTGTAGAATTCGACCTTCAATCAAAAAAAGTAAATTTGATGTTTTCACGCTAAGCACTAACTTTTAGGAGGCAGTGACTGGAGGAGAAAAGTTGCAGAATTAAATTTTGCTACGTTCTACTCCCAAGACACTAGGTAGTGACCAGATTATTGCAATGTAAAAAGGATACCCCTTTATTCTTTGATCAGGACATTCTTCCAAGTACAGATCACAGATTTCCGAGACCAGAAGACTAGTTTTTCCAAGCATTGGGCCCTTCTGCAAAAAACATTGTCTTCATAGCGAAAAAGGAATTTTAAAAACGAAAAGTCAAGTTTTCCAAAATATTAACCTTTTCAAAAATTCCTTTTTCTTGATGACGAAAGTGCTTTTTTGCAGACAGGTTCAGAGAGAACTTTTATCCTGTAACCGCTTCTTCGTACAAGTCGACGCGTTGCTTGAAAACATTAAACTCACTTCTCTGCAGTCTACGTCCTCGACTGCAGCACTAAATACTCTGACATTACGACGTTCTTCCCGAAAGATCTAACTCTTTTATTCTGCGGCCTTTACTTGAAAAGTAATAAAAAAAAATATGACAAAAAAAAGGAAGACTGTGTTCTCTTATAAAAAAATAATAAAAAGAAAACGATATATGACATTTATGCAAACTGACTCACTCCTGATTCTCTTTCTTTTTCTTCTCTACTTTCCACACTTGTGATCACCTATATGACATTCACCTTTGGAAGCACATGTTCTGCTTCTTTTTCACAAGTTTTATTTGCTTTCAAACGCATGATCCATTTGACTTGATGATTTTACACTTCAATCACTTGCTTCACGTTTTTCTTCAGTTGCATGACCTTCACCGGCTTCTTTCATTTTTTCAATACCAGATTTAATTGTGTCGATGTTTGAATCTAAAAAGAAAATGAAACAAAAAAAATAAAAGGTTTGATTAGACCTCAAGATGTAAAGGGAGGTATAGAAGAGGGAAGGCCGTGGTGTGGCGGTTCATCCGCGCCAGCTTCTTCTCGACGAGGTTGGCGGTGGTCGACTTGCCCGCGCCCGAGAACCCGGGAAACCACAGCACGGCCGGCTTCTGGTTCTTCATCGCCGCGTGCTGCTCGCGGCCGATGTCGGTTGCCTGCCAGTGGAAGCTCTGCGCGCCTGAGAGAGAAGTTAGGCATCCCGGCCACCACGGTGCTGCTTCTTTGTCTATATATTTCGTTACTCCTTTCCATAATGCTAGAGCCTCTCACCTTCCGCATTTGATTCTCTCTTGATATACGCCTAGTTTCTACCCTGAACTTATCTTTAGATCAAAAATAGCAACAAAAAATATTGATAATACGCCTAGTTCCTGGTCATCACTGCTTGTTCCTATAGTTTACAGCGCTTGTCCTGACTCTTTCGACATCGACAACAAACATGGCGCAAATACATGGAAACTGCTCTCCGCGCTTTCAAAAAGTTCGATCTCTTTTCCAGCAATTTCTCAATTCGGGCGAAGAGATCGGTGCCTCCATTACTGTCAACGTGCAGGGTGAAGATGTCGTCAATCTTTGGGGCGGCTACGCCGACGCCGATCACAATCGTCCTTGGACTGAGGACACCATCGTCCCCGTGGCCTCAAGTACCAAAATGATTACCAGTCTCGCGGTGCTCATGCTCGTTGACAGCGGTGCCATCTCGGTCCACGACAAGGTCTCCAAGTACTGGCCTGAATTCGCTACCAATGGAAAAGAGGACGTCGAAATACGCCATCTCCTATCGCACACCTCCGGCGTCGCGGGCTGGGACGATAAGATAACCATGGATGAAGTCTGCGACGTCGGCCCGTCCACAGCCAAGCTGGCCCAACAGGCCCCGTGGTGGAAACCTGGCACGGCGTCAGCATATCACGCCTGGAACTTTGGCCACCTCCTCGGCGAGATAGTACGCCGCGTGACAGGACTGAGTTTGAAACAGTTCGTTGCCGAGAGGATCGCCGGACCTTTGGGAGCCGATTTTCAAATCGGCGTCTTGGAAAAGGACTGGTCACGTATCTCTAACTTCATTCCGACGCCTGCATCGGCGGCCACCGCGGATATCAAGCATGGGCCCCTTTTTCTCAGGGCGATCGGAAATCCCATCCCGTCGCCAGAAATGGGGAAAAGCCTGGGGTGGAGGAACGGAGAGATAGGCGCATCTAACGGGTACGGCAACGCTTATGCCTTAAACACAATACTATCCACCATCACGTTGGCCGGCTACGAGGATGTCGATAAGCGCAAGCACTTGCTGTCTAAGCCAACGGTAGACTTGATCTTCGAAGAACAATCCAGCGGTATAGACCTCGCTATCGGAGTGCCCATTCGTTTTGGCATCGGGTTCGCTCTGAGAGGAGATGGAGATTCGTGGGTTGACGATTGGTTGCCGGCGGGCAGAGTCGCTTACTGGGGTGGATCGGGTGGCTCGCTCGGTATCATGGACATTGATCGCCGAGCCACGATCACGTATGCCATGAATAAGAGGTCAAATAGCCTAATAGGAAATACAGCATCGAGGGCATACATAGGAGCAATCTATGAGGCTCTGGGGGTCAACGTGGAGTAGCTGTACAGTTGGCGGAGGCAAGCACTTAGCGTGCGATAATACATTGTCATCAGCATATTTGTACGGGAACTGTATAAAACGAGCACACTGACTGATTGTAATTGTAAACAAGAGATTTCGTCTTGCCGCACATCCAATTGACTCAGATAATTGTCGATTTTGATCAATATTTTTAATCAATTCCCATAATTGATCTTTTTTTTTGATGGAAAAATGTTGACATATACAATGTTTCTCTTTGTTTAAAATCGATTCGTTTTTGATCATAATATACGACACGATGTGATTGTAATTCATCTTTACTATCTTTCATTACGTTAATATATGTTAATCTTTATTTTTCATTTTCACATAATCTGTAACTTTATTCATTATTGATAAAACATCAATTTTATCTTCACTTTGAGTTTTTAATATCCTTAATTCAAGACGTTTAATATGAAACTGTTGTTGTATTGATTTTTGTGTTATTGAATCTATTTTTTCTGTTTGTTTAAGGGTATCTTAGCTATATCACACTTCACGAAGTCTAGACATTAAAGATGCCTTTGATCTCATCATCTCTGATAAAACACTTCGTCTGTTTCAAACATAAAATAAGAAAACAAATCTTGTATTCCGAATCTGCATAGAAGGAAGACTACATATAGAATATTTTCATACTCCGTATTTTGTCACCTTGACAAATTAAAACTAAATTAGTTAGGACAGCACCCAACGCCAAATTTTCTATAAATTTGGGGTCCTTTTATTGGATGATCTCAGATCGAAAAACAGTATTCTTTTTTGTTTTTCTTAACATTAGAGAATCTCTGCTATTAAAACTAGATTCTATCTTGAATACAATTCACAATCCACAAAATTAGTATTGTTTTAATCTGTCACAGAATCCGGATAGAATATAGACTAGTTTCATAGACAGTGCTATTCTTCCTTGTATGGACATTTGGATGAGAATATAAAATTTGGTCTTTTCTTATTTTATGTTGCAATAGACAAAATCTTCCGTCTATAGAAAACCGGAGTGTAGGAAGAAAATCAGAAATGATGAGATCAAATGAATCACTCATAGTAACTTTAATTGAATTTTGTGTTCAGCCAGATCTATCTATAACAAACCGTACTGATACTTTTTGTTTATAGACCGCTTGTTATCAGTCAAAACTTGGCTTACAATAACACCAAATGTAAATGATTTATCTATCGATTATCGAATGTTAAATCTTTTATGTACATCTTCCATCACGGACAAAGATCGAAAGATTCTTGAGCAAAGTCGTGTACTTTACCTGTCTTGCTGTGTAATAACAAAGGAGGAATTGGTCTCTTCTCCGATGAATTTTTTATTTCCTTTACACAACATACAACATTCACAAATTTCAGACATGATTATTTGATAATGATATCATTATATCTCAAGTTTATTTAAATTAGTAAAATTTAAGAAAGAATATGAAAAACGTCGACTAGAAGTTATAGTTGACAACGTACGAACACACTCCAGGAAAGAGTATAGTTTGAATGATTTTGGTAAAAGTATAGAAACAAAACTTGAGTTGATTCCATCGAATTGACAGATAATAATAATCGTAAAGAAAGATAAGAATGTTATTTTATATCGGGAGATAATGAAGGACCCTCACTTAACGACGCAGAGCTCTAATCAGTTTATTTCCTGGTAACCAGTCATCCGTAAAGACATTCATAATCGCAGGCTTCAGTAGAACAAATCCATCCGCCCACTTCATTAACATCGAAAAATATTTACACCAATAGTTTTTACATCTTTCTTGCAAAATTATCTCATTCAA